AAGAAGAAGTGCTCAGATCTAACTCTGGAAGAGATGAAAAAACAGGCTGCTGTCCAGTGTCTTCGATCTGCATCTGATGAAGTAAGTTTATATTTTATTTCTGAAAAGGGGTGTTTAAAAGTTTACAAATATAACATCTTGACTCTAACAAACCTTAGAAAAATTATCTACTCGTTATCTTACCACTGTAACATAAACATTATTATATTTTTCTTTATGGCATTTATAGAATGTGTTCTTTTATATGTACCATTGTAATTAGAGTATACACAAAAATGTTATGTCCTTTCCTCCATTTAACATATAGAACATCTTGTTAATATATATCTTTATTCTTTTTAGTGGCTAAGTTATATTTCATGAAATAATATTCCAACAACAATATAATATACTTCTTATTGCTGGATATTTATCTTACTCTTGATTTTATCTTTTGTTATGCTCTCCAGGATATTTTCATGTGTGACTTTTTCCTTGGTTTATATTATTTCTTTTTTAAAAAAAATCTTTACCCAAAGGTATATACATATATTTTTAAAAATATTACTGATTTTTAGAGAGAGGAGGGGAGAGGGATAAACAGAAACATCCTTAAGAAACATCGCCAGAACTGGTTTGGCTCAGTGGATAGAGCTTCGGCCTGCAGACTCAAGTGTCCCAAGTTCGATTCCCGTCAAAGTCATGTGCCTTTGTTGCGGGCACATCCCCAGTGGGGGGCATGCAGGAGGCAGCTGATTGATGTTTCTGGCTCTCTATCCCTCTCCCTTCTTCTCTGTAAAAAATCAATAAAATATATTTTTTTAAAAAAAGAAAAGAAACATCTTTAATCAGTTGCCTCCTGCACACCCCCTGCTGGGGATCAAGTCCACAACCTGGGCATGTGCCCTGACTGGGATTTGAACCAGTGACCTCTTGGTTCATAGGTCAGTGCTCAACCACTGATTCACACTGGCTAGGCTCAGGATATGCTGTTTTTTTAATATACTTTTATTGATTTCAGAAAGGATGGGAGAGGAGAGATAGAAACATCAATGATGAGAGAGAATCATTGATTGGCTGCTTCCTGCTCGCCCCCCCACTGGGGATGGAGCCCACAACCCAGGCATGTGCCCTTGACTGGAATCGAACCTAGGACCCTTCAGTCCACAGGCTGACGCTCTGTCCACTGAGCCAAACCAGCTAGGGCGAGGATATATTTTTATTGCTTTTAAGAGAGAGAGAAACATCTATGTGAGGGAGAAACGAGAGAGAAACAGGAATCAGCTGCCTCCTGCACTTCCTTATTGGGGATCAAGCCCACAACCTGGGCATGTGCCCTGACCAGGAATAGAACCAGCGACTTTTCGGTGCTCTTTGGCCCCTTGAGTGTGGCTCTTCCACAAAATATCATGTGCGGGCGCACATACAGTGCGACTGAAACTTCGTGGCCCATGCACAGAAGTCGATACTTTGTGGAAGAGCCACACTCAAGGGGCCAAAGAGCCGCATGTGGCTCGCGAGCTGCAGTTTGCCAACCACTGCTCTAACCATTTGAGCCACCTGGCCAGGGCTATATCACTTCTTTTGTATATATTTCTTGAAGTAGAATAACAGTTATCTAACATTTTAAAAACACTGTATTTGTTTCTAATTTATAAATTTTTGTTTGTATATTAGAAAATATGATTTTCTTAATCTTTTAACATCTCATATAAAATACTTCTCTTTTCCTTCAACATTCTGAAATAACAAAATAATTTTAGAATGTAATCATTTATTTAAATTAGTACCATTAATTCTTGTTTTATTACACACTGTATGATACAATCTCTGAGATCACAATTACTTAGAAAATTATTTTGCTTTACCATTGAGGTAGTGTAAAATTACCTTTATAATGCAAAAGTAAATGGAGAGTTAGAAAAAGCAGTTCTCAAGTGGTAGAATGTTAGCATTTTTTCCACCTTCAGCGAGTTCTCACTAAAAATGGGTATAATTTATTTTATTTAAGTTACTCTAGGCTTTCAATATTCTTTTTTTCCCCCTTTACTTTATATTGTTTCATTGAATGATTTATCTGTTCATGCACCAATGCCTCAGTATTTTACTTTATGGTATTTTTTTTTAATTGATTCAGAAAGGGAGGGAGGGAGGGAGGGGAAGAGAGAGAGAGCGAAACATCAATGATGAGAGAATCATTGATTGGCTGCCTCCTCCCCGCCCCCCCTGGGGATCGAGCCCACGCACGTGCCCTTGACTAGAATCAAACCTGGGACCCTTCAGTCTGCAGGCTGACACTCTATCCACTGAGCCACACCAGCCAGGGCTACTTTTTTATTTCATCTCTCACCTGATTAAAAGACTTCAATGGCTCTCATTGCCTTCAAAATAAGATTAAACTTTTTTTTTAAAAATTTCAGAGAGGAAGGGAGAGGGAGAGAGGGACAGAAACATCAGTGATGAGAGAGAATCATTGATCAGCTGCCTCCTGCACGCCCCACATTGGGGATCAAGCCCGCAAGCCGGGCATGTGCCCTGACCGGGAATTGAACCATGACCTCCTGGTTCATAGGTCAACGTTCAACCAGGAGCCATGCTGCCCGGGTTGTTTCCTCTTTTTTTTTTTAAGCTGTGTGTCCTGGTGTGGGGTTTTTGTGTGTGGTCACCATTAGGTTTGTAGAAAATAAAGTTGCATATAGTACCGTAGTGTTCTTTTTCTTTTGAGTGCATCTGATCTTCATCTTCCTTTGCCAGTTCAGATTTCTATCACCTCCCCTTTTATGTTTTTGTTGCCACAAAATCTTCCTGTATATGCTGTAAGTTTTGGGGTGATGTTATTCGTAGTGTTGTGATCTAATGGTCTTTATTTCAGGTAGACTAACTCCCTTGAATATTTCCTGTAATGGAGGTTTTCTGGTGATAAAGTCCCTCAGCTTCTGTATGTCTGTGTCTGGGAATGTCTTTATTTCTCCACATTTAAAGGATAATTTTACTGGATATATTACTCATGGCTGGTAATCTCTCTCTGACGTTTGCATATTTGGTTCCACTCTCTTCTGTCTTGTAGAGTTTCTGCTGAGAAGGATGAAATTCCTATAGGTCTTTCTTTGTCGGTCACTTCCTTTTTCCCTGGCTGCTTTGAGAATTTTTTCTTTGTCACTAATTTTTGGCAGCTTTAATACCAAGTGCCTTGGAGAGGGCCTCTTGGGATTGAGGTAACTAGGTGTTCTGTTTGCTTCTTGGATTTGAGGCTTTAATTCTTTCCATAGGTTTGGGAAGTTCTCACGCTCTATTGTTTGAATAGACTCTCCTTCC